TTTTTTTTTGGTCTTTTTGAGACAGTGTCTCCCTGTAGCCCCAGCTGGCTTAGAACTCACTATTGTAGGCCTCACAAAGATCTGCCTGCCTCTGCCCCCTGAGTGCTGAGATTAAAGGCATGTGCCAAATTTTTTAACATCCTTGATTTTTATTACTTAACCAAACTTTTTTAAGAGAAAGTAAACAGTAGCTAATCTCTAAATCTAAAAAAAAAAAAAGCAAGAGATTCTTGAATTGAATTCCCAGATGGTTAAATTATGATCAGAGGGCTGCTTTACCTCTGAGTAAAACCACAAGGGTAGAGTGAAGCAGCCTCTCATTTAATCTTCAGCTTGTAAACAAATACCAGATCTCCATCACTAAAAATAGCGGTCATGGAGCCTGAGGATTGTCAGTCTCAGGACAGGTAAAAGCAGAGGTGGGACAAGAAGGGGCTGGGGGAGTGTGCAAGGGGCTGGGGGAGTGTGCAAGGGACTGGGGGAGTGTGCAAGGGGCTGGGGGAGTGTGCAAGGGGTTGGGGGAGTGTGCAAGGGGCTGGCAGCGCTTTCCTGTACGGAGGGGCGCCCTCCCCTAGAAGGTGAGCTGTGGGTTGGGTGCCCCGGTGCCGTGTGTAGACAGTGGGGGGGGGGGGGGGCAGACGGGGCGCCCAGGAGTGCGCGCTCCTCTGCCGGGCCGCCCCTCCCCGAACCCTGTCCTCGGCAGGTTCACGGTGTGAGCCGTCCTCCCCGTCCCCGCCCTGGGCTCCCGGAGCTGCTCAAACCTCCCTCCTGGAGAAGGATGTGGTGAAAGTGTGTAGGAGCCAGAGGGCTCCGTTCTCTGCAGCCGGCCTGACGCCGCCTCCGCAGGATCTCAGACTGAACTCGGGCTCCAGGATGCGATCCGTCCGGGTCTCGGCGTCCACAGGGTTCAAAGGGAAGAGGCGAGGAGCCTGAGGCCCCGGCCCCGCAGCCAATGAATAGCCGGGGGAGGAGCTTGGCGCCCGGGCCGGCCAGGGACTGGTCCCCGCGGGGCGCCCTGGGCTCGGAGCTGCGCGTCCCTTCCCGCGGAACACAGCGAGTGCGGAGCGCTGCAGACCTTCGGAAGCGTGGGCCGGGCTTGCCGCGGAGCTCGAGCTTCTAGACGAGTCGCTCTGGACGAAGCGGGCTCGGGCAGCGGGGACGATGACACAGATGCTGAACGCGGCCGCCGGTCGCGGGAGATGGACCAGGTCCGGCGCTGCTGGGAGGGCCGCCTGCCTGCTGGCTGCCGCCTATGCCCTCAAAACCCTCTACCCCGCCGTTGGCAGGCGTTGGAAGCTGCCTGGCCCGCGGACGGAGAAGGAACCAGCCTACCCGGCCGCGGACGGCAGGGGAATGCTGCATTGCACGGAGACGGTCCGCAACAGACCTGCGCCCGGGGTGAATGCAGATTTCTTCAAACAGCTACTGGAACTTCGGAAAATTCTCTTTCCGAAACTTGTGACCACTGAAACTGGATGGCTCTGCCTGCACTCAGTGGCTCTGATCTCAAGAACATTTCTCTCTATCTATGTGGCTGGTTTGGATGGAAAAATCGTGAAAAGCATTGTGGAGAAGAACCCTCGGGCTTTCATCATCAAACTAATCAAGTGGCTTATGATTGCCATTCCTGCCACCTTTGTCAACAGTGCCATAAGGTACCTGGAGTGCAAACTGGCCTTGGCCTTCAGAACTCGTTTGGTAGACCATGCCTATGAAACCTACTTTACAGATCAGACTTACTATAAGGTGATAAATATGGATGGGAGGCTGGCAAACCCTGACCAGTCTTTGACTGAAGACATCATGATGTTCTCCCAATCCGTGGCTCACTTGTACTCCAACCTGACCAAACCTATTTTAGACGTTGTGCTCACCTCCTACACCCTCATCCAGACTGCTACATCCAGAGGTGCAAGCCCAGTAGGGCCCACCCTGCTAGCAGGACTTGTGGTGTATGGCACTGCTAAAGTGCTGAAAGCCTGCTCTCCCAGGTTTGGCAAACTGGTGGCTGAGGAGGCCCATAGAAAAGGCTACCTGAGGTATGTTCACTCCAGAATCATAGCCAACGTGGAGGAGATTGCCTTTTACAGGGGGCACAAGGTAAGAAAGACAGTCGTGCGGCGGGCGAAGCATGAGGCTGTGGAAGCAGCACTGCAGGGCTAGTTGCCATCTGCTGTCCTGTTGGTGGCCCACTTAGCGTTTTGGACTTCTCTGTACTCACTGTCCTTTAAACCACACGCTAGTAGAGAACTAATAGAGCGCACACTTTTCTGAAGTTCCATGAGAATAAAGTGTCAGTGTTCTCTAAACAGTCCTAGAAGCCACAGTTACCTCAGATATAACCAGAACTATCTCAGAGGCATTTTCTTAAAGCTTGAATGGTAACTTGGTAAATGGCCCTAGAGCATGTGGAGAAAACAGGTATTTGGGAACTAAGGAGACCTCGTTGAGTTGGTATGAAAATGTTAGGACAGTTTTTGTTTTTCTTTGATGTTCAAGAGTGAGAAACTCAGTGCTTTCATAGAAAAAAGCCATTTTGACAACTTTGCAAGTCTGATCCATGAGTGAGTATCCTGTCTCTTAAAAAGTGCAGGGGGCGTCAAACATGGAGTTTCCTTTGCTTTTAGTTTATGTTTTGCACATAATTTTGACATGGATTTTAAAAAGGGTGAAATTAAATTTTATCTAGCACAGAAGTAGAAACTAAAGTTAGGGAGACGATAAATAGGAAAAAGCAGCTCTATAATGATATTTTTAACTATCAAAGGTTTTCAGCACTAAGCAGGTCCCTAAAACAATTAGCCCAATTATATAAAATTGAAGCGCATGACAGTAATTTCAGAATGTTGAATATGATAGAAATTTTAAGTGCAGTGCATCTGAAATCTCAGTATCATTGAACATGCAATGAAATATTGGGCTATTCAAAGTTAAAGATATATTTTAATTATCAAGCAGCATTATTTACCGTTTAAAGTACTATCATACTTCCTCTTCAATAGCAGAACCAACTCAAAGAAAAATATTTAAAACTAACTGAGGACCGCTTGGAAACTGGCCTCAAATGTTTTAGTCATAATGATTTGTTAGTCTTGAATCATTTAGCTCAGTGTAAATTAGTGTCCTGTAGACTGTTTTGCTTAAAAGACAATATCTAGGAAATAGAGTTAGTTCAAAAGTGGAGTCTAATTATACATGTTTTGTTTATTTTTAGATTTTTTGTGTGTTTTCAAGAATTATAGAGGTTTAACATTGCTTATCCATATACCTACAGATTATTATAATTGTAACATCTTATAATTTTAGAATCATTATTAAAGTCACACACACACATTGAATTATTGGTTATTATACCCAAGGCCTCATGTAAGCACAAGTTCTACCACTGAGCTGTGTATATACCCCCCCACATATGTGTATCTCAAACAATATTATATTTATAGGATAGTATGTTTTTTAAACTAATGCAGGGATAGCCTGAATTAAATTATGAGTAATTCTAATTTATCTACATTTATTGGTGGTTGCAGCTAAACAATAATACTATAACAAAGCAAAGTAATATAGCCATATAACCTTCAAGAAAATAAAGTACTTATTTTCATAGCCTGTGCTGAGTTAATTCTCTTTTTTCTCATTTTAGGTAGAAATGAAGCAGCTCCAGAGAAGTTACAAAGCTTTAGCTTATCAGATGAACCTTATTTTATCCAAACGCTTGTGGTACATCATGGTAGAGCAGTTCTTAATGAAGTACGTTTGGAGCAGCTGTGGACTAATTATGGTGGCTATACCTATCATCACTGCAACGGGCTTTGCAGACGGTGGTAATGACAGTTCATGCTTAATATTAAATACATGCTTCCCGTTGTTTCTATTGAAGATGCCATTGCTAGTTCTATGCGTTACTGTGAATGGAGCCATTATTCTAGTATTGGTGGTCAGAAACAAGGGCAGTGAGCAGTGGTATGAAAGATGGAGAAGTTACTCAAAGGAGCTTCCCAGCAATGCAGTGCTTTGGGGATTCTACCTGGAGCTATTGTATTTATATCGCCCAATGATTAGTTTACATTTACCTCAAAGCAAGTTAATATCTTCAGAAAGAGTATAACACAAGCGCTCCTCATGTTTGGTTCTTAACAGCCTATGGATGAAGTCTATACATTTTCTCTAACTGAATTCACTTTGGTTTGTAGTTAGCAAGGTTTCAGAGTGTACTTCAGTCATAGAATGAATCCTCAGTTTGCAGGTAACATGGGACGCTCCTGTAGTATATTTGCAGGGTGGGAGTTATCAAGCTACAGCTACCTAATTTTGTCCTAACCCTGTCTCAACAGTTTTTACAAACTTCCCTTCCTTTGGTATAACTAAGACAGGTAAGTGTGAGGGCAGCATTGCAGTGCCTGTCTTGTGTGAGGGTTTGGGTCTTTATTGGCAGGAATGTGGGGGATTGCAGTTAGAGTGCAGCATCCACGGGCTCACATTCAAGGATTCAAGCAGAGATCAGAAACAGCCTAATGCGGGGGATTGCAGTTAGAGTGCAGCATCCACGGGCTCACATTCAAGGATTCAGCCAAGCAGAGATCAGAAACAGCCTAAAGCAAAACCAGAAAATTTATCTGTAATCAACATGTACAACTATTTCCATAGCATTTAGGTTGCCTTAAGTGTTATAAATCATCTAGAAATCATTTAAAGAATGTAGAAGGTGTAAGCCATGTGTAATGGCTACATCAGCTTCTTTAGGCCACTTGGGGTATCTGTGTATTTCAGACTCTTCACTGTTCCTGGAACCCATCTCCTCAGCACCCACACATGCCAGGGGTTGGTTGTGACTGAAGGTGCATCAAACACCCCCCATTAAAAAACCACCTGATCAAAACTGGCCGTAGTTTTGAAGGAACCAGACAAAAGCAGACTTTGGAATAAAACGGAGCTTTGTTCAAATCTTGGCTCCCACTAGCCCAAGATCCTCTTGGTCAAATTAACCTCCCTAAGACTCAGTTTCCTCATCTGGAAAATGAGACTGAGAAAAGCTGCTTCAGAGGGTTGCTATGAGAAGTTGATACAGAGTTGCTTTTACAACATGGGGAGCATGTTGTACTTAATAAGTGGTGGTGGTCACTTCTTAGAAGACAAAAGATAGCGTTAAGGATAATGCAAACGCATTCATAGTATTTTATGGTTGCTTGTGCACAAGATTTCATAGCTATTTGTTTAAACTGAGCTAATAATAGAAACAAGTGAGTATGTAATACTTTAATTTTTATGACTGCTTAGCCAATTTTTGTCTAAAATTTGTCAAATCTGAGTCATTCTTAAGCTAAAAATATTCATTTCAGTAAACTGTGATTTGTCAGTCTGTCTTTGTGGTAAGTGCCAAACACATACCAAATATACTCTACAACGAAACTGTCTAATAGAACAGTGGGGAAATTGAATTTTATCCGTTTTGATGTGTTCACATTTACTAAAAACATTATTTAAAAATTTATATTGTAAAAGATATTCTTAGTAATAGTATTCAGGACATAATCATTTCATAAAGAAATAAAACTGCTTTTGTCAAAGGAGCCTTATAGGAAAGAATACACTAAAAACATTTGCTCCTAAGATTGGTTTTGCTATGAAGCTTGGCAAAGTATTAATTAAAAAGCTGTTTCTTAATAATAGTCATTTAAAAGTCTGTACCTATGGCTGGGTGTGGTGGTACATGCATTTAATTCCAGCTCTCTAGGAGGCAGAGGCAGGCAAATCTCTGTAAGAGCAAGGCCAGCCTAGTTTACATAGTAAGTTCCAGGTCCAGCACAATAATAATAATAATAATAATAATAATAATAATAATAATAAAGTTTCATGTCTAATGTATTTTAGAGACAATCTCAACAACAAGATTGAACTGTTGTACTGTTAGTAGTGTTTGGTTTTAGAAAACCCTGGGGTTTTACCCACATAGAATAGAGAAAATGAAGTTATTAATGCTGACAAATTAACCCCACTGAGATTAGTAAGAAGTAAACATGTGTGCCAAGAAGCTAACTAGCTTTCTTACTAAGATGCAATGAGATATTTAAAAATACATTCTACTGGGAAAATGGACAGCAGACCCCAATCTTATCCAAAGGAATAGAGACAACTGATTACTGCCAGATGAGGAACAGCTGACCCTCCTAAAACAAAGACCTCTAGAGAGGCTGACCAGATTCACCAGAAGGGCAAGTAGTAGGGAATGGCTGGGGGTGCTGACAACACCGCAGACAGTAACAGGGATATCAGAGTATAAGGGCCTAGTGGGGGGAGGGAGGCTATGGGAGGGTGCTATCTGGGAAGTGGGTGTAAAAATAAATAATTTAAAAAATACATTCTACAGGTGCTGACAGCACATTCCTAAAACAACACTTTTATATTGAAGCAATAGATGAAACATAGCACCACTTCAAGCTGTAAGAATTTTTATATAGAGAGGGACCATGCAAAATTTTCATGGAAGAACAAAACTGCTACCAAGTGTCAACAGTGTGAAATTCGTCACTTTACCTACAGTGTGAGTTTGACAGTCACTCCCTTTACAAATTGTCCACCTATACAAAATCTTTCAGTGTAACCATATTTTTTAAAGCAATTCTAATAAAATATTTTTTAATTAAAAAATTATAGAAGAAAGAAATGAACTCATAGGACAATATTATTTGAGAATATGTTTCAAAATCTGTAATATTTAAGTTTACTATATGTGTATTTATGTTTATTTGTATTTTCTGAATATATTTGACCTCCAGTGACTTAATATATAAAAATATTACTTCACTCAGACCAAATCTTCTTCAGGTTTTAGGTCTTGAATTGTGCATCATGTTTTCTATTCTAGTCTTAAATCTTAATTTAGACTTAATCACTTAGTTGTCTCTTATGTTAGAGATAAAATGCCTTCTCAAGGCATAAGAAGGTGAAAAATTGAGTGAAGCTGGGGCTGGAGACACGGCTCAGTGGTTAAGAGCACTTGCTGCTGTTCTTGCAGAGGATGTGAGTTTGGATCCCAACACCATCAGCCAGCTCACAACCCCTGTACCTGCAGTTCCAGGGCATCTGACGCCCTCTTCTGGCCTCCACGGGCATCTGCATGCATGCTACACACAGACATGTGATTAAAAATAAAAAATAAATCTAAAAATATTGAATGAAACAGAATATCAAAGACAAAAGAACAAGTAGTATAGAAGGGAGAGAGAGAGGAGAGAGAGAGAGAGAATCACAGAGACAGAGTCACACACAGAGTGTGACAGGCAAGCCAACCACTGTTCAGATCTTGACCTGCTATTATCAAATTATTCATACTTTGGAAAATTATATAAATTTATAGGCCTTAATTTTCCTATCTTAACCATGTAGATAATAATATATATCATTCAGAATTGTTAGGACATTATATATAATGTGTAAGTGTGCTTGAAAACAATCTTTGGAAAATAGTAAAAACTCAGGTGTCAGTTCTTGTCAGACTGCTTGGGTTTAAGTGCTGACTGTTTTGCTTACAAGGCTATGGCCCTGAGAAAATCATTTAATTTTTTTATGATTCAAATTCCTCATAGCCAAAATAGGGGAGGTTAGCAGGATTGTCATAAGGATTGATGTAAACTTTAGAACAATGCCTGGCTCATAGAAAATGATTAATTTTATGGTATGATTACAGATGTTTAAAAGAGCAGGGATTGAGGGAAGTCAGAAACAGACTGTGGGTAGGACAAAGAACCTGCATAATTTTTGTTGGAGGGAGAAAGAGAAAAGCAGTTCTGTTGTAGATTTGCTGGACCATCCTCTTACAACTTCAAATGAGCTTTTATAGTAGGGGTATGATATTTATATTCAAAACAAAATTGCATAGAGAACATGCTGTTTTCCCTTCAGAAGAGGAACTTAGAGCCTCTAGTCTAGAGCTCTGGCTTGCCTAAATTCCCACAGGTAGGCAGGAGAAGCTCTAAGGACGGCAAACATTGTGTAATTCACCATACACTGCCTTTGAAACTTACTCCACAAAAAAAGGATGGGCCGGGTGTGGTAGCTTGCCCCTTTAATCCCAGACTCAGAAAGCAAAGCCAGGTCAATCTCTGTGAGATTGAGGCCAGCCTGGCCTCCATAGTGAGTGTAGGCCAGCTGGGGCTACAGGAGACCCTATCTCAAAAAGAACCCCCCCCAAAAAATGACATAATCTAATCCAATCATTGAATTAGAAACTTTGAAGTCTCTTAAGTCTGCTATATTATTTTAAAGAACATTTATCCCTTTCTTTGTATTAAGATAAATTACATGAAGAGTTGCCTGACAGCTATAATCTGAATTTTTAACCAAAGTAGGTAACTTTGTTCTGTTTACATCAAAACTAGTTCCAGGTGGGTGAAGGAAAGCTACTTCTAGTGAAAGCTACTTCTGCTCCTGGTGCACCTTGTCAGACACCTGTCGCGCAGAGACGGGAGTGTGTAAGGCATTGGTCTTGCATCGTATGAATGTGGGCTAAAATAGCAGAGGCAGCACCATGCACCCTTCCAGGGACAGATTACTAAAATAGCGTTTCATACTGTAGGTCAGCTGGATTTAGTTACACTTTTGTTTAGCAATTAGCATAGCACTAGTTATCAAAAAACGCATCAAAGCTATACTTTTCAAAAGATGTGCTTAGCTAAGCATGTGACATTTTCACAAGTGGGTACATAAATGTCATCACCACTCAAGAACCGTCCCTGAACCTCCCCTGTCTTACTCAGGCCCCATGCTCAGCACAACTAAGGTGATCATTTTAGTAGACTTTTGCCTTTTTAAAAATTTTGTATATATAATAGTTTAAGTACATGCTAATTTTGAGACTGGTTTCTTTCAGCATTATGGTTGTGAGAATCAGTTCTGGTTCAATAATTTTCGTTACATAATACCCTGTTCTATGATGATTCAACCACATTTATGTATTCTGTTCTTGGTAGACATCAAGACATTAATAGTGCTGTTGTGAACACACCTTTTTAATGCACATGTTTGTTTCTTGTACTTATCGGGGACTGGCTCTAGCTAGATTACAGGCTAGACATATGCTCAGCTGTAGTAGATTTTGTTCAGCATTTTTGAAGTAACATCTTCGGTTTGTCTCATAAATGGCAGTGTATGAGAGTTCAAGGCGCTCTGTGTATTCGTCAGTGTCTGATATTGTCAGTCTTTCCCCTTTAGGTGCGCTCATGAGTGTATAGCATTACTTCACTATGATCTTCGTTTATATGCTTTAATTTTACAGAAGTTTTATATTTCTAAAAAATTGATCAGAAAGTATAGAATTCTCAAATAGTTTCTCTGGTAGATTTTTCCTATTATTATTTTTTCTAATTTTATTTACTATTTTTATTTTATGTGTATGCGTGTATTGCCTGCATATAGATAAGTGCACCCGTGCCGTATGATGCCCGCAGAGGTCAGAAGAGGCTGTCTGATTCCCTGGGACTGGAGTTACAGACAGTTGTTAGCTGCCATGTGGGTACTGGGATTCAAACCCTGGTCTTCTGCAAGAACGACCATCTCTCCAGCCCCGATTTTTTCTTATTATTTAAATGTGGAAATTTGCCACAACTGATAAACTGATTATTATCCATTATACTAAAATCAATCATTTACATTAGGGTTTATGCTGTATTACACAATCTGGGGTCCTTTTTAAAATTTTACTTTTATTTATGTGTCTATGTGTGTGTGTGTGAATACATGCCATGTGTGCTGATGCCTGTGGAAGCCAGAAAAGGGCCATGGAGCCTCTGGAGCTGGAGTTCACAGATCATGTGAACTGCTTCATGTGAGTGCTGGGAACCCAGGTCCTCTGAAGAGCAGAAAGCACTCTTAACCAACGGCTGAGCCAGCTCAGCCCAGTGTGAGGCTCTTCGTAAACATAGAAGGGTGATCTCTCCTTTGTACATAGTCTTCACCTTAAAAATCCTTTCTTGACTTTCCAGTAAAGTAGCCAGAGATGCTTTCAATTTTCAATGCCTGTTGCCCTCAGAATTCAGAAATAGCATTAAAACAAACAGCTGTAATAGTAAATATAGAATCCTTAAATGAAGAACTTCCTGCAAAATAGTTAAGATACTTAGAGAAGAAGATCCAATGTGTTGACTAGGACACAAAATAGGTGAGGTCATGGATTTATATCTCTGATGCTAAAGAATCTGGCACTTGTCAGAGAGCTCAGGCAGTTGGAGGACAAAGTATTACAGGCACTGCTCTGATGGTACCTGCCAAAGAACAAGGCAGTATAGAAGTCACATGAAACCTGTGGGAAAATATTTGTTACTTTGCTGCTAAAAGCATGAAGAAAACCAGGTAGGCATGAATGTGCCAAAGCGTCATGGGAGCTTCTATTTCATACCAACCCCCAGTCCATCTGTCAGATGCTTTTTCCTTAGCAGACATTGTCAGTGAAAGGTCAATCCCCTTTTAATCCACATTCATGAAGTCCAGTACTTGGTTGAAATCAACAGCCAGATACTCGTTACGTCAAAATTTTTTTAGTGCTTTACCTCACAGAGCAATTCGCTATTTTGATGGTTTGCTGAGAATCCCACGGTACTGTTCCTGTGTCTATCTAAATCTCACTGGATGCTCAAACCCCAGGACTTAGGAGGCTGAGACTGGAGGAACATAAATTCAATACCATGTCAACTTGAGCTACATAGAAGAAATCAGATATGAAGTTCCAGAGGACTGACGGAATAGAACGTGTTTAGGGTTCAACTAAACATAGGCTGAAGAAAGTTTGAGAAAGGTGGACAAAATCAAGATTTTGAGGACCAGGCTAGTTCATCTATTTGAAGGAAGCCATACCGTGAATGTTTTCCATACTCAAGTTAGTGGGTTTCTGTGAGCGTATGGGTGTGTGGTGTATATACATATTTGTATGGGTCTGTGCATATGTGCATGTGGGTACACTGTGTAGAGACCAGAGATCAATGTCAGGTGTCTCTTGAGATGATGCTCCCCTTTTTTAATTTTTTAATAATATTTTTATTATTTTAAAATATGCATGTATACATACATTTATTATTTGTGTCTATATGTGATGTGTTTGTGTGAATGCAGGCACATATGCACCACAACACACCTGTGGAGATCGGAGGACAACTTTGAGGAGTCAGTTCTCTCCACATGTGAGTTCTGGAGATTGAACTCAGGTCCTCGGGCTTAAAGCAAAGTGCCTGTACTGGCTGAGCCATCTCACCAGCCCCCATCCATTTTTCTTTTTTGGAACAGTCTCTCATTGAGTCTGTAGCTCATTGATTTGGCTCTGCTGTCTGGCCAGAGAGCTCCAGACAGCCTCTGCTCTGCTCCTCCAGTGCCAGTCACTACCGTGCTCAGGTTTTAAAAATCAAGTACAGGGCATCGGAACACGGTTCCTCATGCCTGCACAGGAGACACTTTACTGACCGAGCCATCTCGCCATCTGCCTCACATTAGCAGGGTTTATCGACCATGTTAGCTGTGATAATGGCAGAAAGTTGGATATGGGAAAGATTGAAAGAAAGCTAAATGAAAGCAGCCTTAGTTCCTATAGAGTTAGTTGTCCAGGTTTTCTTCTAAACAAATAGGAGAGCAAAAGGAAACTTAAAATCTGATACAAATATTATCTTCTTATCATTATAGTTCTAGGAAATTACTGTTGCTAATGAAATATTGTTATTTTAGCCATAATTTCATTTGTGCAAAATAAAGCATTTAGTTAATTCATAAACAACCTCATTAGTTCTGTAATTTGCTTTTAGATCTGGAGGACGGCCAAAAGCAGGCCATGGTTAGCGATCGAACGGAAGCCTTCACGACTGCCCGAAATTTATTGGCCTCAGGAGCTGATGCTATTGAAAGAATTATGTCTTCATATAAAGAGGTACTTGCATTTCTTGTTAATTTGTTTAAAATATGACAGTGACATGAGAATAAAGCAAAATGTAAATAATGACATATACATAGTGTTTTAGAAACATACCTTTCTCTACCAAAAACTTCCAAGAGTGTAATTAGGTTAAGGGCAGCAACTCTCAAATGTGTTACTGCTAATATACCTTATTTTGTTATTCCTCTTTTTCTGCCTGAAGCAAGATATATTTGCTCTTAAATTAAGAGAAAACAGAAGAATCCCTCAAGTGTGGATTTTAGAACCAGCGCCTAAATTTCTATTCACATGTCAGCATTTGCAAGTGACATGCTTTCGTCAAATTCCATGTCTGTCAGTGTCTTTGTTTCCGTAGCTGTAGTGACAGTGCTGATGTGTTGAATGTTACAAGTTAATACACCTGGAACACTTTGGTCACTGTTGGCCAGCTTCTTGCCCTTTTTGACTTGCCTGTCAGTTTGTTACTGTTATTTTTAATGCTCCACATTTTGTTCAACTTTAGCTTATATTCCCCTAATTGAGAGTGTAAGACTTTTCCAGATAAAATTTTAGGAACGGTCCTCTAAATAACTGTAACATCAGTGTACAGACATGAAGTACTATTAGGATTAACTTCTCACTCACTAATAACACTCGCCTCTCTGCAGCTTAAGATTTACACACGAAAGTCTTCCCTGTGTGTCAGCATTAGTATGCTGTTCTACACACTGTCAGCTTCCCCTTCTTGGACTTTCCTTTTCACTGAGGCAAATGAATAGGGTGAGAGATGAGTCACCTTTCTTCGCAGTGCTCTGATAACAAGGTGTTCTCATATGGAAAATCAGGAAGAGGCTAACCCAAATTGGACAACTGGCAGAATCAGAGCAGAGCATCTTTCTGTGGAGTCTCGGGATGAAAGCAGAGCATTATCTAATCATCTTATCTAGAAAAAGTCATAGAGTTCATTGTTTTTCTTGGGCATTTACATTATGTTTGGCTTGAAAAGAAGCTGGATTGTGGGACATATACTAAAAGAACTTGAAGCTTTTCACTGAGCTCTCTTTCACAATGTGTGCCCTCTAGCACAGATGTTCCTCTTCCTAAAGAGGAATTTTTACAATAATTTGGCTCAGAAGCATACATTTCATACATTTTGTAATAAGAGGAAAAATACTTTCCTCCTATTTAAGAAATTCATACGCACACCCATGCACATACATGCATGCACACTGTACGCACACACAAACACCGAATGAGTTGTTTGCTTTTAAAATAAATAGAACTAGAGCTAATGTCATATTGTTTTTCATTATTCTGTTTCTAAATTTGTTTGAATGCATACATATGTGTATATTCGTGGTACTGGAGACTGACCCAGAACTTCATGCAGGGTAGGCAGGTGCTTCACCCCTGAGCTAGGTACCCAGCCCAGTATTCTATTTTAAATAGGAAAAGAAAAGCTATCAGATATAAGCTACCAATGTTTTATTGAAACAAGGACCAAATCAGAAATTTAACTAAGTGATTCTTAACAGACTCATTAATAGTCTGAAATTTTACTTCATTTTGAACCCCAAGATAAATATTTTTGTTATGTAATTCCCATCAGATTTACACTGACATCTTCCTATATTGTTCCTTTGATAAGCTTTTTACTGTTGTTTGTTTCAATTATCAAATATATTATTTTTCATATATAGTAAAATAGAATCTTAAACATTAAATCGAGAAATTTGCACGATTGCATAACTGTAAAAGTCTATTGCAAATGTATTAACTCATCCTTTACATACTGATTTTAGATTACTGAGCTAGCAGGCTATACTGCTAGGGTCTACAACATGCTTTGGGTCTTTGATGAGGTAAAAAGAGGCATTTACAAGAGAAGTCCTATCACTCAAGAGCCTGAAAACCACAGCAAGAGTGGCAGTGATATAAAGTCACCCCTCAGTGACACCCTGGCCATCAGAGGTACGAAACTCAGGGACTTTTGCATTTTCCTTATATTTCAGTTTCTTTTTATCAGAACCAAAGTTTTCTTTTCTAGAAAAGAGCTTTTTGTACTGGCTAGGAACTAACATTTAAATAACAAACATTATTTAAACACCAACCCCCAAGTTAACATTTCAATTTAAGTGGTGGTAACTAATAGTGCGATGAAGTTACGCTGCCTGTACTGAAGAAAACAATGTTCAAACTACACTGGGAAATTCCATATAGGTTGAATGGCTTGTTTGCTTTTAAAAATTGAACTAATGAATAGAATTGGCGCCATTATTATACTGCTGTTTCTAAATTGGTTTATTTTCTGTTGAAATATAACACTTCTCCGGGCGTGGTGGCACAAGCGTTTAGTCCCAGCACTCGGGGAGGCAGAGGCACGTGAATCTCTGTGAGATCAAGTTCAGCTTGGTCTACATAGCCAATTCTAGGTCAGCTGGGACTACAAGGAGACCCTGTCTCAACCCTCCCTGCAAATATTAAGTATACATATATACATATTATATATATAATTTCATAATTCCGTTTTGGGGACAGAGTGGTTCTTTTCTGTAAGAAAGATTAAATTTGGGGAAGCAATACCTCTAAACTGTATGTCCAGGTTATATCAGATTAGGTTAAGCTCTGCTCTAATGATATGGATATTAGGTTATAAAATTTTTCTTTTCTCAGAAAGATTTTCTAAATAGATAAAACTACATATTTACATTAATGTTCATTTCATATAGATTGTTCCTCCTATGACTTACTTTTGCAAAGTATCTTTATAATTGATTCAACATTATCCAGTATTATTCTTTATTTAATTAGCAATAAGCTGTGATGACTTGTAACTTTTTGTAACTGTCCCTTAATTACAGGAAAAGTTATTGATGTGGATCATGGAATTACTTGTGAAAATGTTCCCATAATTACACCAGCAGGAGAGGTGGTGGCTTCCAGACTAAACTTCAAAGTAAGGTGCTATTCAAGAGTCTTCTGATTGTTGCCTTCCCACTAATACAAAACAACTCAGAGTTCATGTGCCCTGTGTTAACACTGGAGAGAGGAGCATATGGAAAAGGGGAAAGCAAAAGGTATGCACAGCGGCTCAGTTATAGGGCAGTGCCTTCCTCAGAAAGCAGGGAGGAGAGGATTTGATCTGTACAGCTTTATTGCCAGGTTGAAAATCAAAACTACAGTACACTGAGAGCCTTCATAAGGTAGCTTTGGACACAAAGCTAATCTCCTCAGAAATTAGTATCAGGAAATGGATTTCAATTTATTAGTAAAATTGCTAAGAAATCTGTAAAACTGTACTTTTATATACTTTCTATAATATGGCTTTTCCTCAAAAGTCATTAGCAAATTCAGTAAATGCATATTTTCTAATTTTCAACTTTAAATAATCAGAAAATTCATGTATTCAATTTAGTTATTACTTCTGCTGAGAACAATTTATTTTGTATCCTGTATCTTAATTTAAAAAACTAAGGTGAAAAACATTTAGTAAACCCAAGGCCCTGATTTAACATGTTATAGAATTCAAACATATTTTGAAAATGAAGCATTAATGGCTGTCATATTAGTTACTTATGTCATTGTGTGACTAGCTTGAGGACATAAAGGGAGGAAGTATTTTGTTGGCTCCTGGTTTCTGGGATTTACTTGGAACTCAGCTGTCTCTACTGCAGGGGGCCCAGTGGAGCACCACGCCAGAGGGATGGAGCGGAGGAGCTTCTTACCGCATGGTGGGTGGCAGGTGACGAGCCCACGAGGGTCAGGGCGAGTATGTCCCAGGACATGCCCCCGCTGACTACTTCGTCCAGGCAGGCCCCATATCCTAAATGTCCTGCCCGCTCCCAGAATGTGCTACTAGTTGGGCACCAAGTGAACCTGCAGAAAACATTTTGGATGCAAACTGTAGCAACTATAGTGAAGGTGGTTGAGCTTTGTTCAAGCAAAGACTTGATCAGCCTGATAATCATCTTATAAACACCTTAATACAACTAACTTTAGAATGAGGCTTAACCTAGGCTTAATTATTAGAGATACATTTACAGTTGAGCAGGGTTACTAGCTGTTGAAAGGGAAGGAGGCGATGCATTAAATATGGATAAGTCCTGTGTTCAAAAACTTAAGAGAAATTGTGCATTAACTATAATTTGTTCAGATTTTGTTGTTCACTATAACCCTGTAAAATGGGTTCTGATTCCCAGAACCCGCATGACAGCTAACAACTGTTTGTAACTCCAGTTCCAGGGGATCTGATGCCCTCTTTTGACCTCTGCAGACATTGCACGACATAGGTGCATGTACATAAAATAAAAATTAAAAATATAAAAACCTGTAATATTATAAAACATCATTTGCTCTTAGAAGTAACTCAAATTTTTAAATGGATTCCTACCTCTTGTTCTTTAAAATGCCCTGCAAACACAATGCAGAACTTCTCCATTCTACTCAACGGAATGAGAATTCACAGAGTTCAGCTGTTTGAATTAAATGGTAACGAAGATTAAAGCCAATGGGGAAGCATCAGCTAGACGATGAATAACTAACTTGTGTTATCAGTGGGTGGTACAGGTATGACTTGTGCCCAGAGAATGAGCATTCAGTGTGCATACAGACTCCCTCGGCTGGCTCTGTGACATTTGCAGATACCAGCACCTGCTACTGTTCAAATCCTTCCTGCACAATTTTATATAGAAAGAGATTCTGTACGTACTCAGTACAGATGCACCTTTTCTTCCACAAAGTAGTTTCAGTCCCCAGTTGTTGATTCCTCAGGAGTGGATCCCTGAACATGGAGCGTTGACTGTGTAGGTTTTAATTAATCCCTAGACATGGCCTGTATCACTGTCCCTTTGCTTTCTTCTGTCTTAAGTTTGCTAAGCGTAGTCTTTAAGAGATGAGTATAAAGTAGAATTAGAATAGTCTTTTCTCTCCGATTCTGGGCTTTTGTGATTGCTGTGGCATTTCAGATGCTGAGGTGCAAAATCAGGAGCACAGCTGGCCCCTCAGATAGCTGCTTCGTAGTATAGTCAACTTTCAGGGTTCTTTGGATTTTACATAAATTTTACCAGCATAAAAAGTTTAATGTATTTTAACTTAAACTTTATGATTTGTCTTATTTCTCATGTAGTTACAGTTCTCTTCATGTACCTAGTACAAAGATGTCGACTGAAATATTTGAAAGCCAGTGTTCATTCCAAGAATATTCATTTTCTTCGTAATTAAACTATTTTAGGATACTTTTAGCTTCAGAGAATAACCAAAGCCAACGTTCCAACTCTGATACATTGTTTGTTTCTTTCTTATCCAAGACTAAGTGATTGAATTTTTTTAGAGAGCTTTTAAAGTTTCTTTTTATTATTTATAAATGTGTGTGTGTGTGTGTGTGTGTGTGTTTGTAAACCAAAGGCATTGGATTCCCCTTGAGCTGGAGTTACAGATGGTTGTAAGCCATCCATTGTGGGTCCTTGAAACAGATCCTCTGCAAAAACTGTAGATGCCCTTACTGTTGTAAATCGTGTGTAGATGCTGCCAGAGGAAATACAGTTTCAATATCACAGCTTATAACTTTATTTCTGACTTTAGGTAGAAGAAGGAATGCATCTTTTGATAACTGGTCCGAATGGCTGTGGGAAAAGCTCTCTCTTCAGAATTTTAAGTGGACTGTGGCCTGTGTATGAAGGAGTCCTTTATAAACCACCTCCTCAGCACATGTTCTATATTCCACAGAGGTGAGAAGGTTTTGTGCTAAATGAAGAATAATTCTTTTGCTTTTGAATTAAATTCATTCCTTGGGCTTGTCAGTTTGCACTTATTTAAGAATATTTTCAGTGAGAGAAGCTATTAAGGAAATAAGAATTTAGTTGTCCCCAAATGTTCTGTTCCTGTGTTGATTATAATAGATTCTGGAGCAATGCCACTAGTAACTTTCATGTTTACTAGATGTGATGAATACTCAAAGGCTGCACATATTAATCTTAAGGAATAATAGATGACGCCAAAGAATACTTACAGAAAAGACAGTACTTGGGTTCTGTCCAGACCTTCCCGTTCAGCTGCATGTATTCATGTGTTCTAAAATTGTCCATTCAGCTTTAAGAACCTTCTTAAAGTCTTTATTGTGATTACTTCAGATAATTAGCAATCTAACCACCTTCAAAAATTAAAAGTGTTTTAAGAATGAGAATAACATAAGCCTGGGAAAGGAGCATTGTTTTTTCTGAAGTCTTCAGCCATCTCCCCTCATGAAAACTTAGAAGCATCTAAACACATAGTCATATACTTGGGAATTTGGAATATTTGCTAATAATAAGAGAAAAATCAGGTTTAAAGAAAAGCCATTCCTCATGCTCCTCTGGCCCTTTGACCTTGTCCATGTGTATAGCCTGGGTTAGTAGGCATCCCACAGTGCATTCCCTCTGGGTCAGCGGAATGCTCTGTGGAGCCTAGCGGAGCCCTTAGGATGGGAGCCAGGACTGGAGTGACGGTAGCAATATCACGTTCCTCCTGTCCTTTCTTTGTTGGAAAATGCTGCTACCATGCTGCCTGTGGGTCTAATTTTTAGGCTGTTTGCAGCAGTCAGGTTTCGTGAGTGCTTTTCTTTGAAGTAAGACTTGTGGTAGTAAATGGTAGGAAGCTGTTGGCTGTCTAGGAAGATGAAATGTGTTAGCTGAAAATGTTGGATGTGAGCCGTGCTATTCATACTTGGGTTTATCGCAAAATGAATAGCATCTGTGACACCGTGGTCATTGTCTTTCTGTTCTTTGGAAAACCTTCTGATCCTGGAAGCTCAACCGTATCGCCTAAAAGTTAAGTTTTAGACATTAATGTGATAAGTAGAATTATTTCAATGTTGTGCTTAACTTATAAGGCATTGAATCATGAGGAAAATGGTTTATTGTAGAAATCTGTTCTTTTAATAAAAATTAAAGTCCATGAATGATTTTATATTTTTACCTTTTAGATACTTCCTATATAATATAAAATAAACACTTTTTATATGGTTATTTCATTAGGAGTTTGGGGTTATTTTTATTGAATTTCTGTGATTTCTGTACATTATAATTTGATGGTGTTTAGATCCCCTCTCCTTTCTCCACCTCCCCTGGTTGGTCCCCACCCAATTTAATGTACTCTAATATACATGATAAGACTTATAGAGTCTAATTTATGTCTGCAAATGCCCTTCCGTGTGGGTCCAACCACTGGAGGCCTGGTTAACCTACCAAGAGTCCCGTCCTTGAAAGAGACTGACTCTGCCCCTCCCAGCAGCCATCCGTTGCCACAGTTTCCTTAGGTGGGGTTGGAGCTTCTTACCCGCTTCCTCGTGTCTTGCTGGAATGTTTTTCTGATTTGAGCTTGCATGGAACTTGTGCGTGCTGTCACTATTGCTCCGAGTTCATCTGAGTAACTGAATAGCTGTCTGGAAAACTGTTTCCTTGTGGTCATCTACCACCTTGCCTCTACAGTCTTTCTGCCTCCTCTTCCACAACAATCCCTGAGCCTTGTGGGGAAGAAGTTTGATATGGATGTCCTATTCAGGGATAAGTGCTCTGCAGCCTCATATTCTCTGCACATTGTCCAGTTGTGGGTTTCTGTGTTAATCACCTCTGTTGCATAAGGAAGCTCCTCTGGTGAGCATTGAGAGATGCATTAATAAGTCATTAGGAGTCAGTTCAATATGGTAACTATTTAGTATAAAGCTAGTATCAGGTTCTCTGTGTCCTGTGACCTGATTAGCCTCAGGGTCCTAAGCCTGATATCAATGTCAGGTGTGGGCTTCATCCTAGGAAGTGGGCTTTAAATCCAATTAAAGAGTGGTTGCTTACTCTCATAATATTTGTGCCAATATTGCACCAACAGGCATATCACACCAGACCGGTTGTTATTGTAATTCACAGGATTCACAGCTGGGTAAGAATGATGATTGTTTTTCCTTTGGGTGGCTTACATAGCACCTTCCAGCGCTATAAACCCTGACCAGTAGAGATGAGGCTCTGAAGTCAGCACCAGAATGATTTGTCCTTGTTTGTTCTATAGCTCATGTACATAGTGTCTTCAGCAGTAAGGTCTTACCATGATGTCCTAGTGGGTATGCAAGAACAGGGGCAATGGCCAGTATTGTTTGAGGGTCTCTGGGACCCCTGGTTAACAACATCAAAAGAAGGAGTCCATTCCTGGCATTGAGGTGTTTTTTAAATTATTATTAGTCTATGATGTCTAGAAAGGACAATGCCCCCTGTTATAGAAGAGCTCCTTTTAATCTCTTTATGATGTATATGTATATACTTTAAGAAACTTCTGTGGTGGTAGGTTTCCATATGGCCTTTTCTAAAGGTCTTTAGTGTTACTTTACTCTCCCTTTACTCCTCCTCTGCCCTCCCATTCCTTACTCTGTTTAACCCTTCCTAGTCTAAGGTTCCTCTTTACCCTTCATATTACTGCAGTCCACCATCCCTCCCAGGAAGCCTCCCCCCAAAACCCACGGCTAAGTAATATTGAGTAATGAGTTGAATAATACTCCATTGTATAAATAAATGTACCACATCTTCATTATCCATTCATCAGTTGATGGACTTCTAGGTTGTTTCCAATTTCTGACTATTATGAAAAGAACAGCAATAAACATGGATGATGAACAGGTATTTCTGTAGCAGGGTATAGAGACTCTAGGGTGTATGGCCAAGAATGGTATGGCTGGGTCAATTTCAAGCTTTCTGAGGACTCTCCACACTGATTCCTTAGTGGCTGCACCAGTTTGCACTCCCACCAGCAGTGGGCGGAGCTCTCTTCCTCCACATCCTTGCCAGCATTTGTCATTGTGTTTTGGATTTTTGTTGTTGTTGTTGTTGTCTTTTTGTGATAGGGTCTCCCTGTAGCCCCAGCTGTCCTGGAACTCACTATGTAGACCAGGCTGGCCTTGAACTCACAGAGATCTGCCTGCCTCTGCCTCCCGAGTGCTGGGATTAAAGGCATGGACCACAGCCATTCTGAGTGGGGTAAGATGAAATCTCAAAGTGGTTTTATTCTGCATTTCCCTGATGACTAGAGATGTTGGATCTTTTAAAGTATTTCTCCTATTTGTGTCTCATCTTTAGAGAATTTCCTGGTCAGCTCCTTGCCCCACTTTTTAATTGGGTTGTTTGTTTGCTCTTATGTTTAGCTTTTTGAATTCTCTGTGTATTCTAAAATAAACACTTTTTGAATATACCCTTGACCTGAATGGCATAAGACATTTCCAAGCAATGAATAAATTTATGAAAGTGGATAAATTAATCTTTAACCACAGAGAGAACTGTGTTATTTTGCAATAAACATAAATCACTAGGAAACTTTTCTCAGTTACAAAATTTATTTTGCCTAAGCTAAAAAGTCAACTCCAACCTAGTTAAGAGAAATGTCTGTGAGTAGTATGTATTTTTTTTTTTTTTGGTATTTTTGAGACAGGGTCTCCCTCTAGCCCCAGCTGGCCTGGATCTCACTATGTCAACGGGGCTGGCCTTGAACTCCCAGAGATCTGCCTGCCTCTGCCTTCTGAGTACTGATTAAAGGCGTGTGCCACCACGCCTGGCCGAGTTTTATTTTAACTATATTTTAACTTTAAGAAAAAGTTTAAAGTAATTTTTCTTGATTTTATGGAATCTAGAAGCATGAGAATTCATGTTTGTTTGGAATTTTATTAGTTTTAGAATTCATATTTATGTTTGAATTTTTATTTGATCATATTCTCATTTTGTTTAAAATTTGTTTTAAAAACATATGTAAACTGAGTCTGAATGGAGCATTCATTTCTTTTTTGTTTATTATTTTTATTTTATGTATATGAGTGTGTTGCCTGCACATATGTGAGTGCACCCATGTCGTGCAATGCCGTGGAGGTCAGAAGAGGGCTTCGGATTCCCCTGGAACTGGAGTTAAGGATGGTTTGTAGCCACCATGTGGGTGCTGGGAATCGAACCCGAGTCCTCTGCAAGAGCAGTCAGTGCGCTTAACTCTGAGCCATCTCTCCAGCCCCTCATTTCTTAAATTTTACCAGCTACTGACTCTCAAGTAAATTTCAAAATAATCTTGTATGATCTTATTATGTAAATAAAAACAACGATGCGGCCTATTTTGAAATATGTCGGTAAATAATCTTAAATTTTTCTTCTTAGATTATCCTCATAAATGGCTATTATAATTAATTTTTGTACTATATAGAAGTAGAAAGTAAGTAAAGTAGAAGTTTGACAGAAAAACAATATAGAATTGAGACCCACATGTGAACTCCCTAAGTCATAAAACATGTTTTATAACTAACCGCTCTGCGTTCACCTTTTGTGACAGAAGCACTTCTTGGTGATGGATGGGTCTCTTTACGCATTGAATGAATGTAATAATGCATTAATTATCGCTTTCATGAGGAAAATGGAGTGGGTTTGTGGAAGTGGATTTCTGATAGTATTATTATACTGAAAAAATACTCAGGAACAATTAAGCGCTTGATATTTGACTAAATCTTCATACACGCACACACATACACAGACACACAGACACACACACACACACACGCTACTTTGGCTAACTTAGGAACCCTGAATTCCTGAGAAGTTGGGAAATCTCAGTGTTTTTCCACTCTTCTAATGCTTTAGCAATGTTAATAATAAGAACCAGATTTTTAAACGATCAATCTTGTCCTTAGTTCAGGAATACAGAGTGGTTCTGTGTAAATGAGATTCAGAACCATTTTCCC